TATTTCTGTCACACAGAGTTTGACATTTAAAGTATGTCAGCTAACTAGCGATACAACCTGACAACATTTTTTCATTCGTATTGAGGGGCAGTGAGGTAGCCTAGTGGTTAAAGCATTCACTCGTCATGCTAAAGACCCAGATTCGATTCCCCACATGGGTACAATGTGTGAAGCCCATTTCTGGTGTCCCCCACTGTAATATTGCTGGAATATTGCTAAAAGCGGCTTAAAACCATATTCACTCACTCAATTAATTGTATTGAGGAGCTGAGAGAAGGTGTCGTCTTAAGGAACTAAGTATCATGACTGCTTTATTTGATATTATCTACTGAGAATGTTTTAGGTAATGAATGAACATTTGATCCCGACTGAAATATCATGCAAAACTCATGGAAACAAATAAGGGAACACATGAAAGTACAAGTGTTCCTATATTATTTTCCAGGTTTCTTCACAAGCTTTGTATTGCACTGTGTGAGTGAAATTCCGGGGAAAATATGAAAACACTTGTACTTTCATGTGTTCCTTTATTCGTTTCCATGAGTATATAAATATATTTATTTAGCTCAAATTAGATGATAAGAAAAATGTTCTACTGTTTGATTCTTTGTAAAGTCATGTACAAAAACCTATGACTTACTCCTTTTTTATATGACCAGTTTAAGCAGTTAATCCTAAATAAGACTAAATGCAATGAAATAGACATTCTTGAACAAATTAGTACAGCGTTCATAAAACACTAAACTTTCACAATAAACCCTGTAAGTTTAACTTTCATTGCTCTTTCACTCTCACCCATCCTAAAACAATTGCCTCTTTAAAAAAATCAAAATGGATGAAAGTAACTGTCTATTTTTGTGTTACCTTTAACAAAATTTAATTTTAGTTTTGAATATGAGAACTAAACTCATTCTTCTTTGCCGTAAAATTGCTATCTAAGTAGTCAGTAACCTAATTAAACATTTACATAGAATTTTCTGTTCAGTAATTTGATGTCTCTTATAGTGAGTGAGTGAGTTTAGTTTTACGTTGTACTCAGCAATATTCCAGCAATATGGTGGAAGTCTGTAAATAATTGGAGTCTAGACCAGACAATTCAGCGATCAACAGCATTAGCACTGATCTACGCTACTGGGATACTTGTCATGTGTCAACCAAGACAGCGAGTCTGACAACCCGATCCTGTTAGTTACCTTGTACGAGAAGCATTGGTTACAGAAGATCAATTCTAACCCGGATCTTCACGGGTCGATTTCTTTTATATCTAAGGAACCTAAACAGAGATGACAATATGAACTTTAAAAAATATGTACCTCAATAACTTCATCCATATTTGCTATAATCTGATGTAGATCCTTGGACATGAAATGTGATCTTGTGTTGTTCTTGCAGGGAACTGGAAGATATCCAACGAAAAACTCAGCAAACATCGGCAACATCAGCAAATGGAACCCTGCTGTTACAGAGATCTGTTGCACTTGATGACATGGTGGATGACACCCTGGATGACACCAATCCCTCTCTACAAACTCCCTCAGCCTCGCATGCAGAGAGAATCGTGGCAGAGCGATACCGGAGAGGGAAAAAGCAAGTGTATCGGGTCACAAAGCGTAGTACTTCACCCTTGTTGGAAGGGCTACTCCTGTGAAGACCCCCGAGAAGTTTAACAGTGATGTGCAATCAGATAGAAGCATTCTCCTTGATATGAGATTCAATAACTCCTTTGACCAATCAAAATATGTGTCTTATGTGACAGAGAATGCATGGCAGGGTAGACAACAGGATTCACTAAAATCGAAAAGTCTTAATGATATTTTTCAAAATGATGATCAGAAAAAATTACAATTGCTTCTTGAGAATGGTCGTCCACATTACAACTCTGAGCTCATATTAAACGACACCTATAGCAGTTCAACAGACTATCCATTGTATGGTGATGAACATTATGCCATCAATGACAATTTTACGCTGAGTCCCAGATCAAATACCGAGGACCAAATGACAATCACGATGGACAATATTGGCGAATCAAAGACAGAGGACCTCCTTTCTGATGACTCCAAAGATACGTCATCACTTGACTGTTCCAGTCTGAGTGAACAATCCCCTGTCTTTTCCAAAGTTAAACCAATCTCAGATCACAAAGAAAGTCCAAAGAAGTATGTGAGTGAAATAACAGTATTCCCAAAGTCATTTCAAAACAAAAAGGGCATTATGAAAACTCCCAAGGATGGACATTCTGAAATCCAGAATGCTGGATGCTCCAGAGAGAGTTCGTTAACCAGTGACAGTGATCTGAGTGTCAGTCCCCGTGTCAATCACACTGACACCGAATTCTTCATGGAAGCGGAGTTCCTGGATGCTGCTATGAAACCAAAGAAGAGCAGATTTCAAAAACTGTTCGGTGGCAAGAAGGGTAGGTACAGCCCAGCTGCTGAGGATATGCCACCGTTGTCTACCGTTGGCGCCAGAAGTCATGGAGTCAGAAACCAAGTAGTGAGAACAGCAGCATCAGATCCTGTTCGGGATCAGGAACATGGCAACCCAAGTCCGACTGACCTTGTTAGGGAAGATCCAAGTGAAAGTGTGGCTGAGCAGCTAAACACTGGGCTTTTGATTCAACATTCAAGGAATTTCAAGGATGCAATTACAAATATGGGCCATTTGACTGATCATTCAAGGGATTTCAAGGATGAGATTACTAATGTTGGCCATTTGACTGAACATTCAAGGAACTGCAAGGAGGTTAAAGCAGAGAGACCTGTGAAGGATGTGAGATTTAGTGTAGAAGGAAACCTTGATGACACTTGTATTGAGAGCTTTAGTGGGAATCTGCTTAGAGAAGGAAGGCTTACACCCAGGGAATCATCTGTGATAAGAGATAGGAATGAACCTGTAATAAGTGGAGATGGAAAGGATAGTGTGTACTTCGCTGGTCCAGTCCTGATTTCATCAGGGAGAGGATCCTGTTTGGATCTAAGTGTATCTAATGACGACATGCCACAGCTTGACACGCCATCAGATCCTGACATGTCGAGAGTGTCCATGTCAGAGTTTCCAGCACAAACTGATCAATCAACTCCTTTTAAGTTTGACAGAGTGACTTCCTCAGAGCAACCCGTGGTTGTCTTTGACACAAATGATACTATTTCCCACACAGTTGACACTGATGAAGAATCTCCTTTGAGTACTGTTTCCCACAAAGCCGATGTGAAAGTAATACTTGGCAGCACCATTTTCCATACAACTGATTCTGATTTAATGCCTGACAATACTGCCTCCAACCCAACTGATCATGATGTGTCTTATTTCTCGGAAGGTTTTGATCAGCTTGAGACATTTGATGAAAGGTTTGAATGCAGTCTTTCTGTCAGTGATTCAGATAATCTTAATAACTCCCTCTCAGCCAGATCAGCATGGAGTGAATGCAAAGACCTGACTGAGGCTGAAAATAGTTTTGAAGATGACTTTGATGGCAGTTTCACACCAAGAAGTACTGAGAATAAGGAGGTATGTTATCATGATAAAGAAGAAGGTGACTTGAAGGAAGAAAAAGGAAAATCCTCAGGATATGGCTCAGAAAATTCACGCCAGACTTCAGAGACAAAGGATGAACCTTTCAGTGATGAGGAGAAAGCAAATCATGGCAAGGCTGTGGTAAAGATACCCAGGAACTCCTCTGTAGATCTGGATGATGAAGATGTGGATAGGATATTTGAGATGGCTAAGGACCCTCCTACCTTTGCTGATGTTGATGATGGCTTGTCCTTTGAGGAGCTGGATCACACTACTGTACATGATTCAGAAGGGATGGATGATATTATTGAAGGAACTGAACCTGTGGCCTTTCTGGGAAATTCTGTAAAAGTGAAATCTGAATGTGATGATCCATTAGAGAGAGAGGAGATTTCTCAGTCAGCAATTCCCAAACCTCAGCTATCTGCACAGTCTCCATGCATGTCCAAAAATAAGGTTTCAAGACTCTGTAAAGAAAGCCAGATGGTGTCTAGTACTTGCTCTGATGATGTTGAAGACAGTGCAGATGCTGTATCCACAGCCTCGAAACAGTACGAGAGTGACGAGATGGGTATGTCATCAGAAAGTGAGGCCATCCGATCTGCCTTTGACTTTCTCAGTTCATCTTCAGAAGTAGAGGCTCTGACCTCTGCCCGTGATCGTCTCAGAATGTTAGAGGAAGAAGACAGCGAAGAAGATCAGGATCTGGCATCATCCATCAAGATTCTATCTGATCTCAGAAGAAGCATCCTTAGTGAGAATGAAGACATACTTTTTGAACAGGGATTCAATCAAGAAGAGCTCACTGAAATTGAAAGAGAAGATTCCAAGCCAGTATCCCCTCCAACTATATCAGAAGATGATGACTCCAGCTTCCAAGTGGATCCTAAGCCAGCTGGGGTCCACGTAGAGATCATGGCAGACATACACCACCCTGATGTTGACGACTCGGATAATGGCAGTGAGGTAGACGCTCCCCTGGATGTTTTGGATGAGGAAACTATGGTCGGGGCTGGGGTGTTGTTGTTGCCAGAGAAGTGTGATGATGATGATGATGATAATGATGCAACAACTCCAAGACCGATGAAGGATGATTCAGATACCAGTGTTAATCCTTTCAATAAAACTTTCACTGTATCAGCTGATGGATGTGGTGATGATGTGAGTATCCAGTCATCCAATTTAGTGACCAGTGGTGGCAGGGAGTGTTCAAGTTTGGCAGATGAACTGAAGTTACCACTGTGGGAGAAGTTTCATGATTTGTCTTCGTCAGAAAGGAGCACACCAAGATTAAATGAGTCTTCGACAATGGATGAAAGTATTCCAGATAGTTCTTTTGATGTGAGCAATACATCAGTGGAACTTACGAGTGATGCTAAGGATGTCAACAACGCGATTCCTTCAGTGTCACAAAGGACTTTTCAGAAGCTGGAACCTAAAACCGAAAAGATAAATAATCCAGAGATGGATGAAAATGGCTCATTGGGTTTCATCAGAGAAGCTTACAGTGAAAGATCTAGTGGAGGAATAAGCCAAAGATACATAAAAAAGAGTGAGATGGATAAGAAGAGAGCTCTTCTTCGACGTCAGAAGGAGGTGGAGAAAGATGAAATGGTTGATGAAGGGGGAGGTAACTGAAGATGATTTGGAGAATCCGATGGAGTGTGTTTGTGAGGATATTTGCAAAGAAGAACTCATTTGTCATACACCAAACCATGGACAGACAATACATCAGAGTGGAAATAACTTCAAGGATCTGTTTGATGATTCAGCTGATATAATAGATGGTGCAAAACAAACCGATCCTGTAGATTCAGATGTTCCTGAGTGTACAAAGAGTAGTGAATGTGATACTGGCTCAGCAGGGGCAGCAAGTTTGGAGAATTCTGCCAATTCAGCAGATGTGTCACCAAGGTACTTGACCCAGTCGGACCTGCCCGAAGCTGAAGTAAGTCTTTCCGAGGAAATGGATGTCAGTGGTTCTTCAGGGGAGGTATGGTTTGATGATCTAAACGGCAAGAACTTTAATGAGACGAAAAGCAGCATCACATCTGTCCTGAGTCCTAGGGCCGATGCTTATCGTAAGGAGAGTGAAAGCTGTGATAGTATAAAATCTAATGATTCTGCTCCTCGAAATGATTTCAGGGACTATAAATATAACTTACCTGATGTGGTTCAAAGTCAAGGACTGCAGCATGGATCTGATAACAATTCAGAGGATCAAGTCAAAGTGAGAACAAGTCGAAAGGAAAATCCATATGCAAGGATATCAACAGATGGTTCATTGTCAGATGATAGTCTGAAAGAGGATGAGGAGTCTTTTGATCTTTCCCTGAATTCTTTTATTTCGCCATACGCTACAACTAAATCACTTGCCAAAATTTCCAGCACTCCTAAGAATCTGTATAAATCTAAGGCTGCTGAACTTAGCTGTGATGGTATTGAACCAGTTTATGACCCATATGCAACAATAGACTCTCCAGGGGGAGATAACTCTGACCGTAGGAAGTCAGGTGGAAGTGACATAAACCCATATGCAACGCTGAATGATGTTACTTCTGGGGACCTAAATGATGGTGTTCTGCACTCCTCTAAGGATGTTTTGGTAGAGGCATCAGGAGAATTATCAGCTCAGAGTTCTGTCAATGTGTGTGATAGGAAGACTCATGGCAGCATGATCATCCCCGAAATAAGAATAGAAGCACCAACTGAAGATGAAGCAGAGGAAGAGGATAGTATGAAAGGTTGGAAGAAAGTTTTTTGCATTTAGGGACCGTTCATAATTTATGGCTGGGGGTGGAGGGGGGTCATTGATTTTGTACATGATACGCAAGGGGGTGGTCAGTTACTTTGTATGTAAATTTTAGGGGGGGTCATTCACATTGTACATGCACCTGCATAAAAATCATCATTCCCCCCTTGCCAAAAATTATGAATTGTCCCTTATATTTGTATAAAATTCAGAACAAGTTGTTTATTACCCACCATTTTATCCTATTTGTTACCACTTTCGTAAATTTATAATAAATTTGAATATCATTTTAGCTCACTTGAGTGAAAATTAAGCGAACTTGTCTGGCATCTGGTGTTTTATTTTCAATATGGCCGCCATGGAAGCCATTATGAACAGCCAATTTTTACATCTTTAATATGGAAAATCACATGCATGAGATTGTAAGAGTGTGGCTCTACATGTAAGATTACCTTTTTATTAAAATTATAGTTTTGATCTTGATTTCACCTTCCCACCTTGACAATACTCCAACTTTTTTTCAAATATGTTTTTGATGATAATTTAAGTTTTGACCTTGATTTAACCTTCCAACTTGGTTCTTCTCCAATTTCTCTTGTTATGCATTGGTGATTTGAAAGAAGAATCAACTTAGAAAGCCCTGGATAATGAAGATGAAACTCTCCATGCCTGTTCCCACACATGAAATTCTTCGCATGAGTTCGCATTGTCGGGCGTGGGGTAGCCTAGTGGTCAAAGCGTTGGCTCGTCACGCCAAAGACCGGGTTCGAATCCCCACATGGGTACAATGTGTTAAGCCCATTTCTGGTGTCCCCTGCCGTGATGTTGCTGGAATATTGCTAAAAGCAGCGTAAAACCGAACTCAGTCAGTCAGTTAATCCGATTGTCATTGTGGCTACTACAGAAGATATTCTATGGTCTTGTTTATCATCACTATATGGCTGGAATAATGCCGATGTGACGTAAAGCCCAACTCAACCCAACTCACCAATTAACAATTCAGGTTTTTTAATGTGGCTGAACTGTCAACAGCGTTTAAAATTCCCGCCTGCCCGACCGTCCGGAACGGTTTATTTTCATCTCGGACGGTCAAATTTCATAAGTAGCCTGTCCGGTGGTCTGGTAGATATTTTTACCCCTAACAGTAAATATTTCGTAATATCAGACAGGTTCTCTTGTCGTCAGTTTGAGGTGTTTAAGGTATTATGAACAATTTAAAATCATGTTAAACTACATACGATTGTACAGTTCATGTTACGTTAACCAATCACAACACGTGTACTTTCAGTTTATTGTTGAAACTGGACAGGCAAGTTTGTATCCGGACTGGTTATTTTTTAACGTTACCAGTCCGTCTGTCTGGCTTGGACTTTGGGGAGTTTTAAACACTGCTGTCAATGAAGAAAATATTTCACAGTAACTCAAATATGAAATTTAAATCTTTTGACTCCACAAACAGATGAGCCCCAGTGCTGTGATTCTGTATTTCGTATTGATCTCTCAAAAACATGGCTGTAAAAGATTAAGTTATTTACATAGACTTTAGATTCTTAAGTTTTTCTTGTCATGAATCCATAACAACAGCATATATTATTGAACATTTGAAATTTAGACCTGCTAAACTACTTCTGATCATGACCAGGAATATATGAACCGTCTTGAGCAAGTGCTTGTCTAATGAAATTATTGATAGATAACTGTTGGAAAGCAGCTGTGGACTATTGAGATGTTTACATGGATAAGAATTTCAAAGTAATTCTAAGAGCATATTCTTGCATAAGGGTATAGATTTTATGTTTGTTGGCAAGGCATGGACATTAATCTATTGAGCAATTTTTAAAGAAATAAGCATGTGAATGTTGAATTAAATTGCAAATTCCTGGATATGTTTATTTTCAATTGAGCACCAACTAATTAAGGGTTTCACAAAAGTGGTAGTTTAATGTTGAAGACACTATTGAGATGTTTACATGGATAAGAATTTCAAAGTAATTCTAAGAGCATATTCTTGCATAAGGGTATAGATTTTATGTTTGTTGGCAAGGTATGGACATTAATCTATTGAGCAATTTTTAAAGAAATAAGCATGTGAATGTTGAATTAAATTGCAAATTGCTGGATATGTGTATTTTCAACTGAGCACCAACTAATTAAGGGTTTCACAAAAGTGGTAGTTTAATGTCGAAGATAAGCATCAGTGTAGGCTTTCCTTCAGAATTAAGCTGGATGGTGCTTTTTTTCTGAAGGGGTCGTTGTCGGCACAGGTACTACAGATATGTACTACAGAATATGTACCCCAGAAATGTATTCTGTGTTCTGATTTGGGCTAGGGTACATTTCTGCATACAGAAATGTACCTGGGGTACATATGTGTAGTACCCATATCAGCAACGGCCCCTCCAGCGCTGTTATTGATATACTGTTCGAACACCTTTAAACCATGCAGTTTAGGTCTGTTAATTGTTTCTCAGGACTCCTGCTTTGAGAGGGTGATGGAACAGCTCAAAACCAGGAAAATATTGACAGAAGGCAGTGTGGTGTGAAGTACCCTTTGTCCCAACTTGCTGAAATAGGAATTTCTTGAAAACCATGGCATGTCAGTTATCACTGTAATGTTTTTTGTTTTTTTTCATGTGACATTTTCTTGAGCTACAGAAGAACTATTTTACAGATGCAGATATTTTGATTGCTTCAGGTAAATGTATTGATGATCTCTATGCCAAAGTGATGAAGGATCGGTCTAAGGGAGACGACCCAGATACCTCAAAAGAGGAGACAAATCTCAATTCTCCTACAAGCCAGTCTTCAAAGGGAGGGAACTCTACTGCCAGTCAGTCTGAAGAGGAGTTGTTGGGAGCTTGTGGAGGCTGTGAGGAGCTCTTGGACACAAATGATGAAGGACCTCCCCTGCCAACCAGAAGATATGAAAGGTTGAAATTAGACCATGTTACAGTTTCTTTTGAAAACTGAATTGCCTATTTTGAAAATACGTTTTGAGCAGTAGTAAAATCACAAATCATTTCTGAAGTTCATGAGATAATGGTTGCAAACCGGTAGCCTAGTAGTTAAAGCAATCCTCACTCACTCACTCCTCAGATAACTGTCAAGTTGATAGAGCATGGTATCTTAGTACTACAGTGAGTGAGTGAGTGGATTTATGTACCTTTATCATCTCATTCAAACTCCACTTTGTCTACAAACGGAAAAACTTTGATAGTGCATAACATTTTGAGGATTATGTTTACCCTAATTAAACAAAGATTTAGTATGACATGAGACACTCTATTTAATGTCTGTATGGGGATGAGTTCTCACATCATATCCGTGTTTTGGGCACAGCATGGTACTGTGATATAGGGTAGTCTAGTGGTTAAGCAATGGCTTGTCATGTGAAGACACTAGCTTGAACTAAAACATTGGTTGAGTGCAGGAGGCACCTTCTTGGTGTCTTTGCTGTGAGTGAGTGAGTGAGTGTAGTTTTATGTCGCTTTTAGCAATATTCCAGCAATATCAAGACTGGGGACACCAGAAATGGGTTTTACACATTGTACCCATGTGGGGAATCGAACCCGTGTCTTCGGCGTGACTAGGCCACACCACCGCCCGGGGTGCCGCCCGGTGTGACTAGGCTACCCCACCGCCCCTTATGATCAGTGATGACACCAGGTGTTCTCAAAATGGGGAACGCATATTTTGCTCAAACCCATGTACCCGCCAATCAAACTTTGGTTTTTGGCGTTTTCCTTGCTGAGAAATGGTTTGAATATTGCTGAAGTCGGCATAACGCTGTGAAAGAGATGATGGTGGGTTAGCAAGGTGAGTTTGAGTGAAGTATATAAAGAATCCAGTCTCTGCTGTTATACAATGCTGTCAAATCATTTGAATATTGCCTAAAGGGGTGTAATGCTGTGAAAGAGATGATGGTGGGTTAGTGTTAGTGCAGGTTAGCCAGACCCCTTGCACCTGCATCTGGTTTCTATAAAAGATATTCATTTGCAGAAATCTTAAATTGTTCTTTGAGAGGCATTTTAGAAGTTGTAAAGATGAAGGAAAGCCAAGTTTTCTATGGATACTCATTGCAATAAAGATATTGACTATCCATAGAACTTGGTTTTTCTTAATCTTAAAGGGTGTTTGAATGAATAAATTACCAATACTAATACATGTATATCAAGAGTTAAGTCAATACTTATAAACATTTTGCTGAAATAGGAATTATATGGTGTGGCAGTCTGAAGCATGTCATTATTTCCAGTGTGTTTTATTTTGCACAGGTTAATGTCATATATTTTTTAATAACAGTCTCTGCTTGGAAATTTATTTTCTGAACATCTTTTTGTTTGTTTTCATTCTAAAACTAATCTAAAACAATTGGTTTACACTTGTTTCATTTTGTTTTTCCAATAAAACATGTTTCATGAATTGTTTTAAACTGAGAAGTTGTTAAATTTATTTTTCTATTAGAACTTGTGTTTTAAGAATATCTTTACACTGAAAAGTTGTTTAACTTTGTTTTTCCTGTTACCAACTGCCATTTAGTTCTGTTATTCAAGATACTATTTATCTGTGCAATTTTCATATTATTATTACAAGTGAGTGAGTGAGTTTAGTTTTATGCTACACTCAGCAATATTCCAGCTATATGGCAGCGGTCTGTAAATAATTGAGTCTGGACCAGACAATCCAGTGATCAACAGCATGAGCATCGATCTGCCCAATTGGGATACAATGACATATGTGTCAACCAAGTCAGCGAGCCTGACCACCCAATCCCGTTAGTTGCCTTTTATGACAAGCATGGGTTACTGAAGATCAATATTCTAACTGGACCTTCACGGGTCTATTATTACAAAAACTAAACTAAAGTATTCTGCAATTAGCAGGAGTAGATCATCCAATAACAATAAAACTGTAACAAAATGTATTTTCGCAGAAAGTGTTTTCATAGATCCTGAATATGTCAGACACCACTTCACCATATGTCATCTGTTCAAAGAAATTCTGATGCAAGTAACACGGATAGGTTGGTTTCTGTGAACAATATTGATTTTTAAATAAGGTTTTCTTCATTTTCTTTGATCTTTGTAAGACTCAAAGCATCTGTCAGAGCAATTTAGACTGGGACAAGACCCAGGCCTTGGCAAGGTGACCGACAGAGCAAGTTGGATTTAAGTTTCAATCAGTTAAATTGTTAATGATCACCCTAATTTCATGAACATAGCTTCTAAAATTGATGCAAGGCACTATCTGCTTGTCCAGTTTGAATCAGTTTAATTGTTACTGATCACCCTAATTTCATGAAGATAGTGTCTAAATTTGACACAAAGCACCAGCAGCTTGTCCAGACTTACATTGAAATGAGCAGCTGTCCGTGGTGCCTAGCCCAATTTAAAGATATTTTATTCAAATTTGGGCAAATATTGATTTTTTACCTCCATGGTTTAATTCTCGTCCTTAGCCAGCACTTGAATATCTTCGCTATAGGACAGATTCACACTTGTGCCGTGTAATACTCGTTATAATCAATTCTGACTAATTAGAGCTCGGTATTGATTTTGTCAAACTTCTGTTTTGGCGATGGATGAGTCGGTCATTCTGAGATGACTCATAAATGCCTTCGCTCACAGCTCTCGCCAATTGTCGGGATCTCCAGGTTTATTGATTTCTGTGTGCATGGAAATGCTGGGTGCAATTGTTGGTATTGTGTGTGGCCTGAAACATCTGCACGGTTTGGTCGTGATTCTACCCTTTTGGTGACTGGATAACATTGTTGCAAACTCTCTACACCTGGCTCACTGTCTTCCTTAAGTGCATCATTGGTAAGTAGGGTTGCTGCTTGGGTATTGTATTCGAAAAAGAGAAGACGAGGTCGCAATGGTCTGCTGTCCCATGCTGAGCTATAAGCTTGGTTGTTCCAATGGTATTTCATTGTCTCAGTACTCAACAGTTTTCTAATGTGAAGAGAATGTCGGTTTACTGTTACTTCCAGACTTCTTGGGATTTTTCTTATTTTAAATGATTTGTTTAGATAAGTGATTTTAAGAAAGCTTGGGATAATTCTTATTTGAAAATGCAATTTGAATCGATTTGACCTATTTAGCCTTTGTGCACGTTCATGAGATGCTGTTTATGTGAATTTCAATGCTGATGTTGTTGAAACTTAAGTTTGGTTGATTTATTAAAATCTTATGAGAAGTGAACACTTTAATGTATTTGGGAAAACTAAGGTAATGTTTGTACCATAATATATATTTAACTGCAGTTATTTTGTAAGACTTTTATGTATATTGACCCAGTCGAAGTGGTTCAAGAAAGTACTTTGTGTGGTTCTGCAAGAACAGTGGGTAACATTCACTATTCAAGCTGAACACCCAGGCAGTTCTTAACACAAGAACTGTGTGGGGAAACCAGTCTTGGTTGAATGATGCTGAAAACAGGATTAAAATAAACCTTATTTCATCCTTATTATGCACACTGCTTTTCCTTGCTGGTGTCCCCCTCCGTGATATTGCTGTAATATTGCTAAAAGCGGCATAAAACCATACTCACTCTCTCACTCACTGCTTTTCCTTGTGTAATAGGACAAATCTTGTCTGCTTGTATTTTTGTGCTATAGATATTAGGTTTATAATTTATCTTATCCATTTATTTCTTCTGAAATGATCAGTTGTATCATTTTACTGCGCACTATATTTATAAGTTATTTTTAATATGGACCCAAGAGTCTTAAATGCACATTTTATAGAGGAAAATATTGTACTTATTGACTCATCCATTATGATATGAAAATATAACAATTTGCTCATAAAATCTATCACCCAAGATAACTAATATTGAGCTCTCTCATCAATTATGTTTTCAAATACCCACATGTAACAGAGAAGAATTATTAAAGGCAATTGAAAATTAATCTGTTTACAATCTTTAAAAATAGTTGGTTTAGTCCATGATAAATTAATTTGCCATCCTTGCTACTGCACAACGCCTGACCTACTGTGCATGACCATAGAAGAGGTGACCTCGGCTTATCAACTAACATGGCAATCTACTCAACATGGAAAGTGGTGGATATGTTTCAAAATTATTGATTTCAGTGGTGGCGCCATAGATTTCTTTAAAACATTAATAAAAACAAATGTTAGCCCACTACTAACATGACACTCAAACAGCTCATTTGTCTAGTATTGTAGGAAAAATAACTGTACAGTTTCTTCTTTGTTTCTTTTTTTACAAAATAAATAACTGAGCACCTGCTGTGTTTGAAAAAAACATAGCTTCTAAACAAATGGAAAAAAAGAAGTTGCTTGTCTTAAAATATTGTTGTAAATGTGGGAGATTACTATTGTGGCCCGTGCCCTTGTTAATCTGTCTTATTATATTACATGATATTAAAGATACCCATCTTAACTCATAGAGCATAATGATGTACATCATCGTTGTTATACGACTAATTAATCATTGACCCATGAAGATCTGGGTTACAGTTGGTCTTCAGCAACCCATACTGAGGTGAATAACAGGTTCGGGGGGTCAGGCTCGCTGACTTGGTTCACACATGTCATCATATCCCAGTTGTGTAGAATGATGTTCATGCTGTTGATCACTGGATTGTCTGGTCCAGACTTGGTTATTTACAGACCGCTGCCATATAGCTGGGATATATGAATATTTGTAAATTAGATTCCAATCACACAAATTAATTTGTAAATTAAGGTATGATAGTGACATTGATACTGACCCACTTTTATGCTCTAATTGTACTATGAGTGTTGTAGAAGATGAGTTTCACTTTGAATTAGTTTGCCCATATTGTAAGCATCTCAGGGAGCAAATTATCTCCATATTATTTCACATGTCCTTCAAGGGTGAAATTGTATTAATTGTTAACGTCTAACAATCCCGAACATATAGAAAATATGTCCATATGTTTGAAAAGAAACCTACCAACATTGTCATGCGTACAATATTGAACTGTACTTTCATGTGCTTTTGGCCATGAGGCCTTATCACAGAATAAACTTGTCTCAATGTCTAGTCTCTGATATTGCTGAGTTAGCTGTTACACAACAAACAAACAAGTTAATCATATGAGGAACCTGTGTTTCTGTGGTATATTATACCGACTGTCAAGTACATGTTAACTGCCATACAGTAGTCACCCTGTCCCAACTTGTCCCCCTCCCAACTTGATATGTGACTCAGGGAATGCTTTATGGCTGCATCACAATCATCAAGCAGCTCCAAATATTCCAAACTGTAGAATACAAATACAAAATAACCATGGAAACCAAAAAAATGAAACGAATTTGAAACACTGGCCACTCTTGAGACTGTGAGAAAAGCAATCTTGAAGTGTGAGATATAATTAAAGGCCATCTCGGTGAAAATGCAGGGTTGTATGAATGGTGGCCTTGACTCATAAAAAATTCCGCAACTTGAAGACAATTTGTAGCACTGCTGAGCATGGGCTGCCTGAATTCTTAATTACACACAACGATGGCTGGCGCCAATTTCAGCTTGTTTAATACTGCTAATAATGCTTGGGAACCTTGCCTCATTTGTTTCATTACAAATTGTTCATTTTGGCGTACTATTGAGATGGAGGAAACAAAAGATTTTAATGATGTCGACATGCTTGATGAACTGAGAACGTCTCGAGCGTTGTGTATGACTGGGTTTTAGATTGAACTGTTTGTTTTTCATCACAAAGTAAAAGTCATTTGTTTGACAGTATTACTGAAGCGAATGAAAAATTATATCAACAAAAGATAAACACAAGGCAATATTTTCAAAAACATTTAATGCCGCGTTCAATATAGAAATAACAAAAAAATAATCCCAAACCATTCGTATTACTGAAACTATTAGTGGAGTACAGTGACGTGGTACTGCCATTTTTTCATTTGGACACATAAAACTGGATAAAAACATGTTCATCCCTTTTGTTTCCATATTTTTGGTGTCTGTATATTGCTCCGAATTTCCAAAACATTATCTTAAAATAAATATGTGATATACACTTTCATTTGTCTCTCAGATAATGTTGATTTTGATATTTTAGTACAGTTTGGTAGTTTGACAATTGTGCTTTCATTTATGAAAGTCCTCAAGCACTTATACTCATGGACATAAGTAAAGGACACTGAGATGTTGGAACACATTATGGACAGAGTATTAGGTTACTACACAATGTCCAAGTGCTATTCCTGTGTTATGGGGTGAAACATAGTACACACTGACAAGGGAGGGAGGGAGGGAGAGGGGAGGGAGAGAGAGAGAGAGAGAGAGAGATTCTGCTGCCATCAGTATATGTGTCATTTCTCACAAGTTGGAGGTCCATGTTGTCATGACATTGTACAGAAACGATTAACCTCACCATCAACATTTATGTTTAGTCTTTTTGTCCTCATTACAATCAATAACTTTGACAATGATAATGTTTCTGTTTTCAGAAGTGTATCTAGTGAGAGCACTTTGCGGTCATCCAGAGGTCTCAGTGCGTCCAAGTCCTCTTTATTGACTAACTTCAAAGACTCGGCACGTGTTCGGTTTCAAACTATGCGGAAAGCCATGAGCATGGACAGGGGTCTGGACGAGGTTAACCATGATGAGAAGAATAAATTAGGGAAGAAGGAGAAAGGAGAGAAAGTGAAAGAGAAGAATAAAGGAGACAAAGAAAAGAAAGAGAAGAAGAAGAAGAGTGACGGCAAGATGAAGAAGGCACCTTCCCTGAAATCCTTGAGCTCATTGTTTGGAAGGAAGAATCGGGACCGCCTCTCCTCCGTGGAGGGAGAGGCAGATGAAAACATCGATGAACCTGTTAAGTAAGTGAAGCATGGGGTACTGTTTTGGAGAGCTTGTGGTTTATGTGTGTGTGTGTGCATATGTGACGTGTATGTATGGGGTGAGGCATGTTTGTTTGTGTGTGTGCATGTGTGGGAGGTGTGTATATAGGGTGAGCGAGGTGTGCACGTGTGTATGGAAATGGTGTCAAGAGTGGTTACCTTGCATCTTGGAATGGAGAAAAATGTCATATTTTAAGAATAAAAGTGTCAAATAGAGTCTTCTGAGAAAGCTGACGGTTAAGGATTTCCACCACGTCTGCATCACGCATGATCCAGAAGTGCCAAAGAAGGTATTTGTCAGCAGGGGGAACCAACCTCACACTAACTCACACTAACTCACACTAACTAACACACTTAATTCCTTTCAGAAAAGGCAAGAAAGAAAGGGGATTCTTCAAATCCAAGAAGAAGAGGCAGATATCTTCCCCTGTGAATACCGTGGATGTGCCAACCCACTTCCGGTGTATAGGCAAACTGAAGGAAGTCAACCCTGATGGCAGTCAGATAATAGAGCTGTCCAAACCCCCAGATGGGCCTATAGGGTTCTATATTGCTAAGGGCACAGTTAACTATGACTACGGTAAGACATTGTGATGGAGGTACTCCACAGACTTCTATATTGCTAAGGGCACAGTTAACTATGACTACGGTAAGACATTGTGATGGAGGTAACTATCCACAGACTTCTATATTGCTAAGGGCACAGTTAACTATGACTACGGTAAGACATTGTGATGGAGGTACTCCACAGACTTCTATATTGCTAAGGGCACAGTTAACTATGACTACGGTAAGACATTGTGATGGGGGTACTCCACAGACTTCTATATTGCTAAGGGCACAGTTAACTATGACTACGGTAAGACATTGTGATGGAGGTACTCCACAGACTTCTATATTGCTAAGGGCACAGTTAACTATGACTACGGTAAGACATTGTGATGGGGGTACTCCACAGACTTCTATATTGCTAAGGGCACAGTTAACTATGACTACGGTAAGACATTGTGATGGGGGTACTCCACAGACTTCTATATTGCTAAGGGCACAGTTAACTATGACTACGGTAAGACATTGTGATGGGGGTACTCCACAGACTTCTATATTGCTAAGGGCACAGTTAACTATGACTACGGTAAGACATTGTGATGGAGGTACTCCACAGACTTCTATATTGCTAAGGGCACAGTTAACTATGACTACGGTAAGACATTGTGATGGAGGTACTCCACAGACTTCTATATTGCTAAGGGCACAGTTAACTATGACTACGGTAAGACATTGTGATGGAGGTACTCCACAGACTTCTATATTGCTAAGGGCACAGTTAACTATGACTACGGTAAGACATTGTGATGGGGGTACTCCACAGACTTCTATATTGCTAAGGGCACAGTTAACTATGACTACGGTAAGACATTGTGATGGGGGTACTCCACAGACTTCTATATTGCTAAGGGCACAGTTAACTATGACTCTACGGTAAGACATTGTGATGGAGGTACTCCACAGACTTCTATATTGCTAAGGGCACAGTTAACTATGACTACGGTAAGACATTGTGATGGGGGTACTCCACAGACTTCTATATTGCTAAGGGCACAGTTAACTATGACTACGGTAAGACATTGTGATGGAGGTACTCACAGACTTCTATATTGCTAAGGGCACAGTTAACTATGACTACGGTAAGACATTGTGATGGGGGTACTCCACAGACTTCTATATTGCTAAGGGCACAGTTAACTATGACTACTGGTAAGACATTGTGATGGGGTACTCCACAGACTTCTATATTGCTAAGGGCACAGTTAACTATGACTACGGTAAGACATTGTGATGGGGGTACTCCACAGACTTCTATATTGCTAAGGGCACAGTTAACTATGACTAACTATGACGGTAAGACATTGTGATGGGGGTACTCCACAGACTTCTATATTGCTAAGGGCACAGTTAACTATGACTACGGTAAGACATTGTGATGGGGTACTCCACAGACTTCTATATTGCTAAGGGCACAGTTAACTATGACTACGGTAAGACATTGTGATGGGGGTACTCCACAGACTTCTATATTGCTAAGGGCACAGTTAACATGACTAACGGTAAGACATTGTGATGGAGGTACTCCACACACTCTCTATATTGCTAAGGGCACAGTTAACTATGACTACGGTAAGACATTGTGATGGGGTACTCCACAGACTTCTATATTGCTAAGGGCACAGTTAACTATGACTCTACGGTAAGACATTGTGATGGGTACTCCACAGACTTCTATATTGCTAAGGGCACAGTTAACTATGACTACGGTAAGACATTGTGATGGGGGTACTCCACAGACTTCTATATTGCTAAGGGCACAGTTAACTATGACTACGGTAAGACATTGTGATGGGGGTACTCCACAGACTTCTATATTGCTAAGGGCACAGTTAACTATGACTACGGTAAGACATTGTGATGGGGGTACTCCACAGACTTCTATATTGCTAAGGGCACAGTTAACTATGACTACGGTAAGACATTGTGATGGGGGTACTCCACAGACTTCTATATTGCTAAGGGCACAGTTAACTATGACTACGGTAAGACATTGTGATGGGGTACTCCACAGACTTCTATATTGCTAAGCACACAGTTAACTATGACTACGGTAAGACATTGTGATGGGGGTACTCCACAGACTTCTATATTGCTAAGGGCACAGTTAACTATGACTACGGTAAGACATTGTGATGGGGGTACTCCACAGACTTCTATATTGCTAAGGGCACAGTTAACTATGACTACGGTAAGACATTGTGATGGGGGTACTCCACAGACTTCTATATTGCTAAGGGCACAGTTAACTATGACTACGGTAAGACATTGTGATGGGGGTACTCCACAGACTTCTATATTGCTAAGGGCACAGTTAACTATGACTACGGTAAGACATTGTGATGGGGGTACTCCACAGACTTCTATATTGCTAAGGGCACAGTTAACTATGACTACGGTAAGACATTGTGATGGGGGTACTCCACAGACTTCTATATTGCTAAGGGCACAGTTAACTATGACTCTACGGTAAGACATTGTGATGGGGGTACTCCACAGACTTCTATATTGCTAAGGGCACAGTTAACTATGACTACGGTAAGACATTGTGATGGAGGTACTCCACAGACTTCTATATTGCTAAGGGCACAGTTAACTATGACTGAGTAAGACATTGTGATGGGGGTACTCCACAGACTTCTATATTGCTAAGGGCACAGTTAACTATGACTACGGTAAGACATTGTGATGGGGTACTCCACAGACTTCTATATTGCTAAGGGCACAGTTAACTATGACTCACGGTAAGACATTGTGATGGGGGTACTCCACAGACTTCTATATTGCTAAGGGCACAGTTAACTATGACTCTGTAAGACATTGTGATGGGGTACTCACAGACTTCTATATTGCTAAGGGCACAGTTAACTATGACTACGGTAAGACATTGTGATGGAGGTACTCCACAGACTTCTATATTGCTAAGGGCACAGTTAACTATGACTCACGTAAGACATTGTGATGGGGGTACTCCACAGACTTCTATATTGCTAAGGGCACAGTTAACTATGACTACGGTAAGACATTGTGATGGGGGTACTCCACAGACTTCTATATTGCTAAGGGCACAGTTAACTATGACTACGGTAAGACATTGTGATGGGGGTACTCCACAGACTTCTATATTGCTAAGGGCACAGTTAACTATGACTACGGTAAGACATTGTGATGGGGTACTCCACAGACTTCTATATTGCTAAGGGCACAGTTAACTATGACTACGGTAAGACATTGTGATGGGGGTACTCCACAGACTTCTATATTGCTAAGGGCACAGTTAACTATGACTACGGTAAGACATTGTGATGGGGGTACTCCACAGACTTCTATATTGCTAAGGGCACAGTTAACTATGACTACGGTAAGACATTGTGATGGAGGTACTCCACAGACTTCTATATTGCTAAGGGCACAGTTAACTATGACTACGGTAAGACATTGTGATGGGGGTACTCCACAGACTTCTATATTGCTAAGGGCACAGTTAACTATGACTACGGTAAGACATTGTGATGGGGTACTCCACAGACTTCTATATTGCTAAGGGCACAGTTAACTATGACTACGTAAGACATTGTGATGGGGGTACTCCACAGACTTCTATATTGCTAAGGGCACAGTTAACTATGACTACGGTAAGACATTGTGATGGGGGTACTCCACAGACTTCTATATTGCTAAGGGCACAGTTAACTATGACTACGGTAAGACATTGTGATGGGGGTACTCCACAGACTTCTATATTGCTAAGGGCACAGTTAACTATGACTACGGTAAGACATTGTGATGGGGGTACTCCACAGACTTCTATATTGCTAAGGGCACAGTTAACTATGACTACGGTAAGACATTGTGATGGGGGTACTCCACAGACTTCTATATTGCTAAGGGCACAGTTAACTATGACTACGGTAAGACATTGTGATGGGGGTACTCCACAGACTTCTATATTGCTAAGGGCACAGTTAACTATGACTACGGTAAGACATTGTGATGGGGGTACTCCACAGACTTCTATATTGCTAAGGGCACAGTTAACTATGACTACGGTAAGACATTGTGATGGGGGTACTCCACAGACTTCTATATTGCTAAGGGCACAGTTAACTATGACTACTGGTAAGACATTGTGATGGGGGTACTCCACAGACTTCTATATTGCTAAGGGCACAGTTAACTATGACTACGGTAAGACATTGTGATGGGGTACTCCACAGACTTCTATATTGCTAAGGGCACAGTTAACTATGACTACGGTAAGACATTGTGATGGGGGTACTCCACAGACTTCTATATTGCTAAGGGCACAGTTAACTATGACTACAGTAAGACATTGTGATGGAGGTACTCACAGACTTCTATATTGCTAAGGGCACAGTTAACTATGACTACGGTAAGACATTGTGATGGAGGTACTCCACAGACTTCTATATTGCTAAGGGCACAGTTAACTATGACTACGGTAAGACATTGTGATGGGGGTACTCCACAGACTTCTATATTGCTAAGGGCACAGTTAACTATGACTACGGTAAGACATTGTGATGGGGGTACTCCACAGACTTCTATATTGCTAAGGGCACAGTTAACTATGACTACGGTAAGACATTGTGATGGGGGTACTCCACAGACTTCTATATTGCTAAGGGCACAGTTAACTATGACTACGGTAAGACATTGTGATGGGGGTACTCCACAGACTTCTATATTGCTAAGGGCACAGTTAACTATGACTACTGTAAGACATTGTGATGGGGAGGTACTCCACAGACTTCTATATTGCTAAGGGCACAGTTAACTATGACTACTGGTAAGACATTGTGATGGGGGTACTCCACAGACTTCTATATTGCTAAGGGCACAGTTAACTATGACTACGGTAAGACATTGTGATGGGGGTACTCCACAGACTTCTATATTGCTAAGGGCACAGTTAACTATGACTACGGTAAGACATTGTGATGGGGGTACTTCACAGACTTCTATATTGCTAAGGGCACAGTTAACTATGACTACGTTAAGACATTGTGATGGAGGCACAGTTAACTATGACTACGGTAAGACATTGTGATGGAGGTACTCACAGACTTCTATATTGCTAAGGGCACAGTTAACTATGACTACAGTAAGACATTGTGATGGGGGTACTCCACAGACTTCTATATTGCTAAGGGCACAGTTAACTATGACTCACGGTAAGACATTGTGATGATGGGGGTACTCCACAGACTTCTATATTGCTAAGGGCACAGTTAACTATGACTACGGTAAGACATTGTGATGGAGGTACTCCACAGACTTCTATATTGCTAAGGGCACAGTTAACTATGACTACGGTAAGACATTGTGATGGGGGTACTCCACAGACTTCTATATTGCTAAGGGCACAGTTAACTATGACTACGGTAAGACATTGTGATGGGGGCACAGTTAACTATGACTACGGTAAGACATTGTGATGGGGGTACTCCACAGACTTCTATATTGCTAAGGGCACAGTTAACTATGACTACGGTAAGACATTGTGATGGAGGCACAGTTAACTATGACTACGTTAAGACATTGTGATGGAGGCACAGTTAACTATGACTACGGTAAGACATTGTGATGGGGGTACTCCACAGACTTTTATATTGCTAAGGGCACAGTTAACTATGACTACGGTAAGACATTGTGATGGAGGTACTCCACAGACTTCTATATTGCTAAGGGCACAGTTAACTATGACTACGGTAAGACATTGTGATGGAGGTACTCCACAGACTTCTATATTGCTAAGGGCACAGTTAACTATGACTACGGTAAGACATTGTGATGGAGGTACTCCACAGACTTCTATATTGCTAAGGGCACAGTTAACTATGACTACGGTAAGACATTGTGATGGAGGTACTCCACAGACTTCTATATTGCTAAGGGCACAGTTAACTATGACTACGGTAAGACATTGTGATGGGGGTACTCCACAGACTTCTTTATTGTTAAGGGCACAGTTAACTATGACTACAGTAAGACATTGTGATGGGGGTACTCCACAGACTTCTATATTGCTAAGGGCACAGTTAACTATGACTACGGTAAGACATTGTGATGGGGGTACTTCACAGACTTCTATATTGCTAAGGACACAGTTAACTATGACTACAGTAAGACATTGTGATGGAGGTACTCCACAGACTTCTATATTGCTAAGGGCACAGTTAACTATGACTACGGCAAGACATTGTGATGGGGGTACTCCACAGATTTCTATATTGCTAAGGGCACAGTTAACTATGACTACGGTAAGGCATTGTGATGGAGGTACTCCACAGACTTCTATATTGCTAAGGGCACGGATAACTATGACTACAGTAAGACATTGTGATGGAGGTACTCCACAGACTTCTATATTGCTAAGGGCACAGTTAACTATGACTACGGTAAGACATTGTGATGGGGGTACTCCACAGACTTCTATATTGCTAAGGGCACAGTTAACTATGACTACAGTAAGACATTGTGATGGGGGTACTCCACAGACTTCTATATTGCTAAGGGCACAGTTAACTATGACTACGGTAAGACATTGTGATGGGGGTACTCCACAGACTTCTATATTGCTAAGGGCACAGTTAACTATGACTACGGTAAGACATTGTGATGGAGGTACTCCACAGACTTCTATATTGCTAAGGGCACAGTTAACTATGACTCTGGTAAGACATTGTGATGGGGGTACTCCACAGACTTCTATATTGCTAAGGGCACAGTTAACTATGACTACGGTAAGACATTGTGATGGAGGTACTCCACAGACTTCTATATTGCTAAGGGCACAGTTAACTATGACTACGGTAAGACATTGTGATGGGGGTACTCCACAGACTTCTATATTGCTAAGGGCACAGTTAACTATGACTACGGTAAGACATTGTGATGGGGGTACTCCACAGACTTCTATATTGCTAAGGGCACAGTTAACTATGACTACGGTAAGACATTGTGATGGGGGTACTCCACAGACTTCTATATTGCTAAGGGCACAGTTTACTATGACTACGGTAAGACATTGTGATGGGGGTACTCCACAGACTTCTATATTGCTAAGGGCACAGTTTACTATGACTACGGTAAAACATTGTGATAGGGGTACTCCACTGACTTCTATATTGCTATTTACAGGCCACATCTGACTTGGAATATTGAAGAGTGTAGCATGAGCAAAAATAATGACAGGGGTTGGCCTTGTGGTTAAAGTGTTCAGTTTTCTCATCAAAGTCATGTGTTCTATTCTGTACATGTCAGCACTAGGTGTAACCATTTTGGTTGTCTTCCACTGTAATTATTCTGTATTATTGTTCTAAAAGAGGCAAAAATCAACAATCACTCATGTTAAATCTCAGCTTACTATGATGATTTATTTTGTAGGAATCTTTGTGTCAAGATTCACAGACGATCAGCAGAAACTATTTGCTGGGATTCTTGGAGTGGGAGATGAAATTCTTGAAGTAAATGATCAGTCAGTTCAAGACAAATCTCTTGACGATGTTTATGCCCTCATGGCAGAGACTGATAAGCCAATCATGAAAGTCTTCCCCATCGTAGCACGAAAAGAAGTCTGAATAGAAAGGGCAATGTGTGGACATAGATGGTTTGGTTATCTGTACTTAGCCATTGATGCCTGTATATTGCTGCTTGGATGTCAGTGCTGGGACATCAGTTCTTGGACACCAATGCATGGACATCTGTTCTGGGACATCAATGCTTGGACATCCATTATGGGACATTAATGCTTTGACATCAGTTATTGGACATCCGTTTTGGGACATCAATGCTTGGACATCTCTTCTTTGATGTCAGTTCTTGGGCATCAGCATCAGTTTTGGACATAACATCTTAGACTTGGACATCAGTTCTTGGACATCAATGTTTGGACATCAGTGCATGGACATAACATCTTGGACACTAGTGCTAGGACATCAGTTCTTGGACTTCTGTTCTGGAACACCAATGCTTGGACATCAGTTCTTGGACTTCTGCTGTGGGACATCAATGCTTGGGCATCAGGTCTTGGACAACAGCGCTTTACATCACTTCATGGACACCAATGCTTGGACAACAGTTCTTGGACTTCTGTTCTGTGCCACCAATGCTTGGACATATCTTCTTGGACATCAGTGCTTGGATATTTTAGTTTAAACAAATGATGCATTGATGTGTAGTCAATATTTTGACATTGATTAAGACTTGAACAGATTCATGAACAGATTGCAGCAAGGAAAATTGAGTGACGCCTTATACACCTGTTTGGCAGCAAGCTGAAAGTGGCGTAAAACCAAACACAGTCAGTCTATGAACAATTACTTCCTTAGGATCTCCCCATGAAACTAATGTGAGTCCCTGTCCCTGACTGAAGAGCCTGGGCTCAGAAGTTGTCCCTGGAGCAACAACCAGACTCTGAAGCTAGAACCTGTCCTTGACATATGAGGCTATCCTTACAACTCAAGACAGTCCATGAGGCTAGAAACTGTCCATGAGGCTAGAAACTGTCAATGAGACTAGAAACTGTCAATGAGGCTAGAAACTGTCCATGAGGCCAGAAACTGTCCATGAGGCTAGAAACTGTCAATGAGGCTAGAAACTGTCCATGAGGCTAGAAACTGTCCCTGAGTCTAGAAGCTGCCCCTGAGACTAGAAGCTGCCCCTGAGACTACAAGCTGCCCCGAGACTAGAAGCTGCTCCTGAGACTAGAAGCTGTCCCTGAGACTAGAAGCTGTCCCTGAGACTAGAATTTGTTCCTAAGACTATGAGATGTCCATAAAGCTAGAATTGTCCTCGAGGCTGGTATTATATCCCTGAGACTAGAAGCTCCCCCAGAGACTAGAATATGTTCCTTTGGCTAAGCCATCTCAGAGACTAGACTTTGTCCCTGAGATTAGAATTCGCCCCAAAGACTAGAAGCTGTCCATAAGACTAGAATTTGTCTTTTGGGCTAGTATTTTGGCCCCCTGAGACTAAAAGCTGTCTCAGAGACTATAATTTGTCCCTGAGGCAAGAGGCTGTCCATAAGGCTGGAACCTGTCTGTGAAGCTAGAACCTTTCATGTACCTGAGGCTTAACCAGCTCCTTCACCTCAGGATAGTAGTTTTAGACAGGTTTTAGACTGCTGGGCTACAAACCACCAGTCTGTGGTGATCAAGCGTCGTGGATACCTCTTGTTAAAGCAGGAGACAAGGGATGCTTGTCAGAAAAATAAACTTTGTTATGAGTTCGAGATGACTGAAACTGTAATTGTACATATTATCGTACATATTTATTTATTTCTTAATCTTAATGTAAATATGTAAATGAATAGACTGCAGACTAGATTACAATTCATTACAACTTTGTGTCAGTCTGTTGGATAGAACATAGTCGAAGATGTTTAGCTTAGCTACTGTCTTGAGATCACTTATGGTCTATGCTGTATTATCTCAGGTAATCATGTTACACCAGAACTTGCATGTTTTAAAGATTGACCTAATAAGGAAATAGAGCCATTCTTTTTGAGAAGTTATCCCATGTTATGTATATCTGTTGTCATGGAAACCGGCTGGAGGATGTGAAGCATCTGTAACATATTTGTTCCTTGGTCAAAGGGAGACATGCATTGGTATAAACATCATTTAAATGTATGTACACAGACATTGTGTTGCCTAGTTTTTTCAGATTTTATTTAAATTCTAAGAAAAGGATATAGAAAAAAATAAGGTTGTCGTATTTTATTTGTGCAAGAAATTCTTCAGCAAATACGAATGATAAAATACTCTTCACATTGAAAAATATGAAAATAATCAGTTGTTAAACATGCCCAGTACATGATTATATCTGTCATAATGAATATTATTTTGCACATAAGAATAAAAAGGATAAAATGCTCTTGTATTAAAAAATTTGGTTGAAATATTTCAAGATATTTGGAAGAGAATATTTGAAATCCATCTTGATGTTGATGTGTGATTGTTTATGTTTTCTCAACATTACATCGATTAACGAAATACTTGGGGACAAAGGCAATTTATTATTAGTATTTATGAAATATACAGAAATGAAATAACACACTGAGACATTGAATTCCTAGACATTAGTTTGAGAATGTTTTGAATAATTATTTAATATGTACTGATCAAAGTAAGTTAGGGATCATGATTTTGTGTGTGGGATGTTGTTTTGGGTGGAGATTGAGAGGATAATTGTAAATATCTCCCTAAATTTTAATGATACCTTTAGTATTTTGCTTAGTATATTTATTTTGTATATATGTAGAATAAGATACCGTTTGATATTAAACAGCAAGAGATATGCACTTTACTTTCAGCAGTTGCTACAAAGGTGTAACTGGACTGGTGAAAAAGTTAAACATATTGAGACAATTAGAATGTGTATTCAATTTTTTGCAATATTTGGCAAAGTGGTCACAAAATTCAAATGCTTGGTATTTATGTTTGAGATAATCAAACACAACAATGTCATTGCATGGGATTAAATCTCATTCATTGTGTTTTGAGACATTTTTTCTGGTTTTGTGTTAAAACTGAATATGTGTTTTAATTTTGTTTTTCAGTTCACAACATTGCCATGTCAAAATGAATGAGTGATTCATGAAGGTGTTCTTGCAATACATTAAGAATTCAATACTGATCTGCTGTATACATACTTGTATTTTGACTTTCTTCTATGAGTAAAATGAATTTATTTATTGTCAGATTATTTATGTTTTCAATTTGCTGTGAAAGAAAAACAAGTAGAAGAACTTTTGTATGAAAATGCTTAGTGCATGGTCCAAGGGAGATAACTCTGTTTAAGACATGGTATTAGAGCATATTTGTCAGGATATCGTAAGAAACTCATTCACTTGATATCACTCAGTATGAGCAAGACAAGTTGCAATGACAACAACAGCTATGTATACCCCATCCTATCATGTTTACTGAAATCGCTAAAATTCAGTGAATGCTATTCAGCAGCCATGTATACATAAATAACACCCCTAAAGCACTGGAAAAAGTTTAGTACCCTGTAGGCCCTGGTACCAAAATATTCCTGATTATAGTTCAGGTCATGTTGAATATAAATATTTTAAGAAACAATGTAGAAAATTTGGTTTTGACATTTGAACAGCGAATATTCTTTTGCAAATAAGAGTGATAATAGTGAATACTTGTGCTTTAAAAATAGTATACGAGATGCTCCAAATAGGAGTCCATTTTAACCTCTCCCCTTTGTTGACTTGATGTATCTGAACACAAACAAGGGCTTATGCAATTAAACCATTACATTAAAACCAGCAAAAAATCAGAAATGTGGCTGTAACTGTATAATACTGCTATATGTTAGTCCTTTAATCAGGCAAAAACGTTGTTTAAAATTCGTGAAATGTAATTTTGAATCCAAGAGGAAAGGACACTACATTCTTTCCCAAAATGTTGATATTAATACTTTTGAGACAGGATGATATCTAATTTTTTATGGTTTTATTAATTTCTTGCAAGAATTAATTCTAAGAACAAGTGTCGATTGTGAAAAGACATACGTTTTGTTGGACCAGGTTCTGTTGTGAAAGGAGTCGCAATAAGCATGACGACAACTGACTACATGAAAATGTTGTATATACTGAAATGTGTGAATGATGAAAATATTTCACTTTTTTATATGTCAGTTTTATTAATTAAACACTGAACAAAAATTTGAGGATCAAGAATATTTTGGGAGATATTTGTGGTAAAAACTGAGCACACAATTCCATAAAAAATATCTTGAAAAAACTTCTTCATGTGCAGTCATGTTATATGATACATGAGCAATAGACATTTGTTTGAGTGGCATTCTAGAAGTTGATGGTCAGAGATGACAAAACTTTATTTATTTTACAATAGGGACATTTTGGTATAGCTTCTTATTATTATTTTATTATTTTATTATTATAGGATATTTATATAGAGCACATATCCATGCACTAGTGCATGCTCAAGTCGCTGGTATTTTTCCCTCGATCATTGGATGTCAATCTAGCATTCGCATTATCAATCTCAACTCCCTGGGAGTATACAACTCTTGCAGCCACTAACAGTTATAGACATCATCCTAGACATATCTATGAAAGATAGTTTTTGGACAACTTGGCAATTAAATTTGAAAAACATGTGATATAATTCTAATATCAAACTCATTTTCTCTTAAATATCCCCCAAAACATTCAGGATCCTCAAGGACAAAGATACTATTATGCAAACCAAAAGAGAAGATGATCAAAATGTGTTTATTTTTAAAACATGGAGCTTCTTCAGTTAAATCATGTGTCTGTTTATAAAATATAAATGTATGTGACAGATATGAGCTTGAAAAATATGGTGATACTAACTTATTTGAAATGCCAGTTTGTCATGGTACACAATATGATATGATGAATATGTCATGCTGCATGTCGTGATATCATCATGATCATCTGGCATATACTGCTAAAAATAAGTAAAGGATCATGCAATTCTTTCATATCACTGTAGGTAATGCTACACTGACTGAGTTTGGTTTTACACCGCTTTAGCAATATTCCAGCAACATCACGGCGGTGGACACCACATATGGGCTTTACAGGTAATGCTACAAGAAGTATAGATTGACTTTAGTATAACGAAAGGATTGAGTGTTCCTTAACTTTCCTTGTGTTGGATATAGGAAATGCTTGGCATAATTTGGGATACATGCAGTTAATATGATACTCACCTCTTGGGTGGAAATGCATTCATGGACAGCATTTGAAGAACAAGGTGTTAATTGTGAGTTAAATTTAACGCTGCTTTTAGCCCCATTCCAGCAATATCATGGCAGGGGACACCAAAAATGGGCTTCACATTGTACCCATGAAGGGAATCGAACCCGGGTCTTTGGGGTGACAAGCCAATGCTTTAACCACTAGGCTACCCCACTGCCCCCAAGGTGTTAATATAGGTGACAGGATGTATGTACATATGC